GAGCTCAGGGAACTATTGGTCCTTTTTAAGATGTCTCCATTATAAGTGAATATGATAAGCGAGGGTTCTGTGAAAAAAGCGAAGGTTGCATTCTATCAATCAAGTCCGTACTGGGAAATGTATGGCCTATAATGAAAATTACTAGCTCTACCATTGTCGATCTTTTATACAAATGTATAGCCTATAATGAAAATTATTAGCGCTATCATTGTCGATCTTTTATACAAATGTATGGCCTATAATGAAAATTACTAGCTCTACCATTGTCGATCTTTTATACAATACTTTTTACGATATCAAAACGCACGTTCTGCAAACAACGCTAATCGCCTGCGTTATTATTTTTATCAGGTGGAACATCTTTGTCGTTTGTGGTTTTTGTCTCAGGCAGGAATATTTCAGTTGCACTGTGAAAGTTCAAATGATAACATTTATCGTATCCTGATATAACCTCGTGTTGATATCAGAATTTGCTATAGAGCTGAGATAACATAGATCATGTCTATTGTACGGCAAAGATATACAGACATTTGACAAATTGCTAAAACCTTAAGGCCTTTGATCACAACAAGGATTTGTCTGTTTTATTGCTTGCTTATAACAGTTAAGAAACCTAAGCCATGGATACTCGACCATAAGCTAACTAGATTTTAGACCAGAAAATGCCCTGTATCGAAATGCTTAGTGCGTAATCGCCTTTCGTCTTTTCCTAAACATCTTATTTTTGCACCTTTTATCGGAAATACATTCTGAAAGAGAATTGTGGGTAATTTTCAATCTCAGTCTATATGTCTCGAGGGCATTCACAAGTGAAGGGGGCTTTGTTTACATTTCTTCCATGCACAAAGAAAAAACAGTTTCCTTGACTTTTAAGCTGGTTAATTTTGAGTGGGGGTCGTGAAGTGAATCCTACTGTGTATCATATGTTTTGAAGTTAAGTTTTCAAGGCAGTTTGATGTTCTCTTCTCTGATGAATTTTGAGGTTCTGCAAATATGCTTGTCATTTTATCTTTGCAACACAATATGAAGCATGTTCGATTTTAGATGAAAATTGCTTCTTCGTTAAATTGATTTATGTATTGTTTCTAATCATCTTTGTATCTCTTCTTGCTAATTTTTGACCGCAATATTATTTATTTGGAAATTTACCTTAGTAAAATAGTAGAAAGCGTCAGGATACCAAGTTTATGAACTCAAATGCCGTCTTGCCATCATATTTGTATTCGTATGTGTTGCCTTGGAAGGTCGTTTTAAGGCACTGGGAAGCTATGCTTATCTATCAGTGTCCTGGTCTTTCCTCTCGATGTGACTAGACATAATGGTTTTCCTGTACCTAGAATAACATAGGCCTGGCAAATCTCTTCAATTTTAGTGAGAGTTTTGTTAGGGCAGGGACTTGAATCCAGGACATTTTATCTGTAGTCAGCAGAACAAAAGGTAGCCCACAGAATAAACTAGCAATAATCTGACAAATGAATATGTCATTTACCAAAATACAATAATACAAACCTTTTCGGTTTTATTGTAAATATTATAGTTTCGAGCTAGGAATCTTGCGGGAGTTCAGTCAAGTTTCTATAATATTCTGCCACTTTTAGCAATTTTTGAATCTAATGGACAACTAATATGCAATCGAATAATGTATCTGCCAGCCACTACTCATTATCTAATATAAGAAATACACATAGTGGTCAACAGGACGGCTTACTACCAGCTCATGGATATCTTAAATGCAGGGTTTATGCAAAATATTCTTAAAATAGGGTCTTGGTACAGCTGTCAAGGTTACACCGATTTATGTTGCAAATGAAACTTGAAAGGGTTAAGGAGATCCAAAAGAGATCAGTGCTAATCGTAGTTCATTTATTTCAAAGAAGCCAGGTTCTGATGCGAATGTAGCAAAGGCAGTATCAACCCGAACGCGGAAATAGAACAACCTCTTTCGTCGGCTTTTCAAGATTTTGTTTTCACTGACATAACATAGTTTGAAGTCGAACGTGAAAATCATTATATCTTCAACTGAAAAATATACCGACATGATGTCAATGTTTTAATTTTTAAGTTCAACATCCTCTTAAATAAGGTTAACTGTCAACAAATTACGATAAGAATGTTCCGTGGTACGTCTCTGAGTCTACTTTTTTGCAGATGATAGGGAAATACTAGCGTCATTCAAGACTTTTTGATGATAGCAACTATTTGTATCGGCTTTATTTTTATATTGCATTTACCACAAATGAATTCGCAATCTCGGGACCATCTCGAGGCTAGCATCGCGTTGTTTATTTCGACTCTGTCACTGATTTAGAACGCTTGGTTCTCACAGGTGGTTCCAATAGCTTGGCTGGCAAATCTGCATGGGCAAGTGTTTTCGGTCCAAAAGTTCACCGTCAGCTTAGCCAAACGACAATCGGGAGAAGCAAAGTTAACAGTAAATATTACTTTGCCTTTGATATAATTAGTTTATGCATATTTAATGAAAACAATCAACGCAGCCCCTGTGGCTATCAAAACAATACGATGAGAATTTATTGAAGCGATCAAAAGACGCTCTTTCGAATCATGAATTCAGTGCACGTGTGGAATGAGAACGAAAGACCTTATAAGAAGTGCATAATAAAGAGGACCAGTATTAATTAGGCTTGGTCCTGGCGTGCTTTTTATGGGTCCACATGAAACGGGTTGTATAGCTTTAAATGACTGATTTGCACATATTGACGAGGGAGCAACTAGATTTGTGTCATTGCAGATGTCATATGAGCGCAACGCCTAATGCTGAGTGGCCAAAGTTGTGATTTGTAAGTTAGCAAATGTTGTTCATTCTAAAGTATATGATTTAAGTATAGTTTATTAAGACTGATAATATTTTTACGTTATCGAAGGATTTTGAGAGCCGACTTAAAGGAGAGGTGTATTTTGTCACTAGGTTGCAGTATTAATGATGCATTTTGTCTTTCTGGTGATCTGCAAAAATGTCTTCGAAACTGATTACAATATCTAACTTTAATTTTACTTTGAAGTGAATTCCGTTACAGTCTTGTTTATTCATAAAATTCTCGATTTATCTCAAATACATTCGTCTCTGCATTAGACGTAATCTTCATTGTAACTTGTAAAATTTGACGATTCTTCAGTTGCTACAGTCAATACACATCAATTCGAATGCTAAGTAAAATTCAACGGGGTTGTCAGCCATTTTTTTATGGTATGATTTGCTTTTTTAATTGAGTAACAGCAAACACGACGACAGACAAGCAATAATTTTCTTTGTGTTTGCTTTTGCACTGAATGCAGAAATGTTAAAGAATATTCTAAGATCAATATGAAATTAGGGTACCCAATCTGAGAAGTGAAAATCATTTGCGGTTGCCAAAAGTGAAGACAACCTAATACGGGATAGAGAATATTCAGTACAGAAGTCGCCATTTGTGGTCCTCATTACCAAGAGAAATTAAAGATTCTAACACACTAGTCGAGTACAAACAAAAAATAAAATTATGGCATAGAAATACTTGCATCTGCAGATTGTGCAAAATTTTCATTAAAGATCTAGGGGTTTTGTACGTTTAGTGTGGACATCGTAAAGTAGGTTTTAAATTATTTTGTTGGCGTTAATTAGCTTATCAGCTATATGGATTTTTTGTTTTTTCTTGCCACCGTAAAAGAAATTGTTAATAATGATAGTAGTAGTAATACCCAACAGACCACGTGATTCCCGAATTTCCGCTACGTTTTTAGCACGATTTCCGAATTCCTACCATCATTTTTACGAATCCCAGTGATGTCGATTCCCAAACCCTACTCATAAATATATTCCAACACCTGATTCCCGACTCCAAAAAATGTCGATTCCCGCTTCCCCGAAAGACATAGTAAGTATCCTCTTAAAAATGCTACTCTTTTTAAGAATTCAAGATATAGATTAGTAGATAGCTTATAAATTATGTTTAAACTATAGACGTTTTTATCTTAAACTTTTTAAGGATATATAATGTTACTTGAGCATCTATGAAATTGGATTACATGAAAATGTGAAGCTACAAAATCAGTTTCACAAACCTTATAGTTAGGTTTTGCAACGAATTATATCAAAATGTTGGCGATTTTGGGAATAAGCATTTTATCAGTCTCTGATCAAATTGGCCTCGTTTCCCATCCTTTTTAAATATATCCGTGAGCACGAGACGTGACTGCCTTGGTTTATAGCTGACACAACTGAACAAATTTATCGGTGTGACATTATATCAAATGACAATATCCATTAGCTGGTACACTTTCATTTTCGCTCAGCAAATAACCGCCTGTGAGAAAAACAAGATGTTTACTTCGCGATTGAACTTTTTTTTCTGTGGATCGGCTTTGCTAATCCTACTGACAATCTGATACCGTTTTGAATCCTTCTTAAACTCGAGATGCTAGCTCTGTCGCTAGAAATGATCGGCATTCATCTACTAAATTCGGTTTGGCAAAATTTATTGTCTTAAGAGAAAAAATATACTATGCTCCTTTAAATGCGATAAAGAAATATATCCAAATAACGTGGGGAAAAAATCTAATGAAATCGTAAGTGCTTTTAAAAAAGGATCCTCGCTTTGAAGCGTTACATTAACATACATTGTAGGGACAATAACGGGCAGCCTTTGCCAGAATGCATAAAATGTTATTGTTTAAAGGAAGTTCGGCAGCTTAATGTTCAATTTAGTATTCCTTTTTGTCGCCCAATTTATCTCACGCAATAAGCATAAAAAGAGCCATGGGAAACAATATTTCCTTATTAGGAAACACAATGTTCATAAATTAAATATGTATAGGTTGGCAGTGTATCACAAGGATAGTTCTGGTTACGTTAGGCTTCCTTGATATTAAGCAGTCGAGTGACTCAATGCTCTGATATAGTTGTCACACAATGCTCGTGTTTATCCAATTTAAAGGCTTAAAGTATTATCGCTAAGCGGCTGTTTTTCAAACCACTGTTGTAAAGCGATATATTTTTTCTTCAGTTTTAGAGTATCGACGACGAAGATGGAATCCAATTTCAAGGCTGCAATTCTGACGATTATATTCTGTTTTTGTTTGCTTCTACAAAGATGTTACAGTGGTAAGAAACTGTTCCAGGTTTTTGTTCCTCTTTATCAGAACCATAACCAGATATTCGCTTATTGCAAACACACAGAAAAAGCAAAATGAGTTCTAAGAATTAAACAGATTGATGGATGATAGAATGCATAACAAAACAGCGAAAAGGATATAGCTTGTCTAGTATGATGACGTCATCGGTCGATATCTACTCTACCTTGTCCTGCCTCCGGGCTTTCTAATTCACATTTACTTTAAAATCATTTCAAATCTCTGTCATTGATGACATTATGTTCTAGGCACTGTTAATCCAAGCATTAGTTTGTCTTGATTGTGTTTATTAAACTTTCAAAACCATTGTTTCTTTATATATTCTCAAACATTAAAAAGATGCAAGCTTTAGTTACTTTCAAAACATTTGTTGATTATGTTTGTATCAACAGAACGCTAGTTCCCATGGCTTGTTATGCTGATAAACTGCTTCTACAATCTTAAAGGAAGAATAATAAACTTTTAACTAATTGCAATAGGTTTCGATATTAATGTCACAAGATACTGCGTTTTGCTATTCACGATTTAGACTTATCAACAACCATTTCTTTGAAAACTTTTGCTATTGATAAAAGTGCTATTGAGAATCTGTTTCTTTGATTCTATCGCCGAACTTCCTGTCACGCACTAAGACAGAAGGCAGGTACAGCTTTTTGGATGGTCTGGAAGTGGTTTTTCTATGCCTCCTGGAGTGGGGGAGGGGGATGGGTGGATGGGGGGATGGGTGGGCAGCAACACCAAAGACTAGCAATAGAAAATATCCGTCATATGCTGTAACTGTAGGTAAGCCACACAATTATTGTTTATTTTTCGCAAGGGAAGCAACCATGAGACGTCAAATCCCTTTTTATTTTGTACAACTTCGCGAACTTGTTTTAAGTTCCATTTAGCGTGCGGAAATTGCTCACACTGTATGCGGTCAGCCCGGATATTGGGCAAATTTTGCATTTGCTAAGCTTACAAAAAGAATTTGCCTTAATTGCCAAACTTTTATCAACCAACTTAACAAACTGAAAACAAAGCTAAGCCCCTTTAAATTAACCATACAACCATTTCTCAAACATGCCACCCAATCGCGGAGCGGTCCCAATTTATTGGATATTCCACGCTGATTTCATTAATCTACTTACAAAAAGAAGAGTTTGCCGAACCGAAGCTCTTCCATTTACATTTTTACTGCAGTTAATATAATGCAACATTTCCTGACGCTTCTAGCCAAAACTTTTAAATAAAAATGTCTACTTGCGAGACGCCGGTTCGGGGCAGCCAAATATATGCAAATTCAGGTCTTTGTATGTTGTGCCCGCTTTAATAAGAGAAAAAATAAAACCCTATTTCTACAAGGGAGTAATTTCGTAAGATGAGCAAATTCTTTATTTTAATAAGCTGTTCTTGAACTTGAAGACTTGAATATTTCTGGTCAATATCAGTGGCGGATTCAAGGGGGGTGCAACTAGGGACAGTTGCCCCTCCCTCAACGAGTTGAAGCAAGTCTAGTGCCCCTTTTTTGGAAATTGTGCGCCCCTTTTGAAGAATGAAAATCAGGTGAAAAAGTTTCTGAGACCGATAGGTTAATTTGCTTCAAGGATTACCTCAAAGTTATGTTGTTTATTCCGAAAATGGATCTGAAATTGTTATATACAGCGAACCCTCGTCACCAATTTTTGGAAAGTACCAACTGCCCCCTCCTTCAAATTTGCTCTGGATCCGCCCCTGGTCAATATATTGAAAGCCAGGCCGTAAGAGTCAGCAAACTTTAATTGGGGAGCTATTGTTTGCATTGCTTTGCTGAAGAAACATTGTCATTTTGAATTTTACCATCTCTGCTGTCCCTGTGATGAGTTTGGATGGAAGAGGCTTCTCTCTACCATCCAAAATGAAGCAATACCTATTTCTAAACAACTTTCATGCCTCCGTATCGAAAGCACAGGTAATTTGAAAATCATGTTTTGCAGAATGTTGTTCTAACGCCAAGAATGACAATGTAAATGATGCTATCCTCGCTGATTTCTTAATTTGATTGTCTTATTTGCAGCCTGTAGCAGTGCATTGGGGATGGAAGATGGTCGCATCAAAGACGGCCAAATAACGGCACTCAACTGGTTGTATTTTGATCAAGATTTCAACTTGTACTACAGGCCATCATTTGCAAGACTCAATAACAAAAAACTTGGTGGTGGAGGTTGGTGTTCAGCAAGTATTGCAATTCATCGAGGAGCATACATTGAAATAGATTTGCTGAAAGACACAAAAATTACTGCCGTCGCTAGCCAAGGACGTGGGATTGGGAATGAATTCATAGACGAGTTTGGTATTACGTATAGACGTGACAATGATACTTCGTATAGAGATTACAAGGAGAGAGGAAGATGGCATGTATGTATACCAAACGCATTTTTATCTTCGCGATTGTATTTTGTTTAATGTAGTCTAAGCTTTTATAAAGAAACTTGTTTTTCTATATGGTCGCCTTTTTGCAGATTTTCACTGCAAACAGTGACACGGGAAGCATCGTCAAAAATCAGTTGACCAATCCGATCATTGCAAGGAGAGTGCGCATTGTCCCACAGGGAGACACATTCTCTATATATTGCGGAAGATTTGAAATATATGGATGCGAATGGAAAAAACAGCAGGGTAAGAATTCAGAAATTATTACTTTGCTAGATTATTATTGTAGCATTATCTAAGCCAAGATTAAATATTAATGATGATTGTAAGCTGTGGAAACGAAGGAATGATGTTGATGACTCCCACAGGAAACCATAAAAATGAATTGAACATTACTAAACATTAAGAAACGAAACATCATAGAACGATTATCTCGATTAAACGAGATATTATAGATGAGAAACCACATGATAATGTGAACAATCATTTCAGGATCTCTTAAAAAATGAAGTATTGTTGGAGAAAAATCTTAATGATAAAGAAATAAATTTAGATTATTTTCCGCAATAGACAGATGACGTAAAAGTTAGTCGATTTGCTATTTTGAGATTCTTTGAACGCTGTTTGTATGAATGCTAGCAGACAGTCAATTGATGTCCATTTGATTTTTGAAAACAGATCGTCTGGTGAGTTATTTACTGCCACTAGCCAACAAATTTGGAGAGTTTCAAACTACGGATCACGTTTATGATGGTGAGACTGATACACAACTTGAGTTCAAAGCTGGAGGCCTTGGTAAGCTCGTCGATGATGAGTATGGAGATGCGACGATCGGAAATAAATGGGTGGCCTTTAAGAAGCGTCAGAAATTCATGCCTTTCTTTCAGTTTGATTTTGGCATAAAGAGGCGATTCAATGCAATCAAATTTCATATGATCAATAAAGGGTCGAATATCCAGGTATTCTCTCAAGTCAAAATCCAGTTTAGTGAAGATGGACGTATCTTTGGAAAGGAGCAAATCTATTTGACAACAGCTGCCGAGAGACATAGCTCTTCTGCCTTCGTAATCACAGTGTCGATTCCTGAAATCGTTGCCAAGGTTGTGAAGTGTATCTTTACCCAGTCTGCAGAATGGATGATGTTTAGTGAAATCGAATTTTCAGCAGGTAATTATTTTAGCTGGCTTTTCAAAATCTGGTGAGAAATGTTCTCCAGTTGCCTTGTTTTATTTGCTTTCAATAAAACCATCAAATCAATTTGCGTTGTGTCATCTCATCTTCCAACAAATCAATTTGTGTCAACTCATCTATAGCCAGTTTCTGACTCTTTGAGAAATTCTGAATTTCTCAAAAGCTGCTTCTTCTTTTTTTATCGATGTTTTCCCAGAATATTATACGTAGCAGCTCAGTTCAAGATCAAAATTTGTAAACAAGCTACACTTCTTGATTGATTTCTTTTCTGCACGTTTTTCGAGAAATAGGACGACAATTGTAAACACAACTATTTTGTGTTCTTCCTTCGAACGAAGTCCCTAGCAACTTTCTATTTAATTCTACCTTACGTTTCAGTTTCTCCTGATGCACCTCTTCCAACGAGACCTGCCCCTCTAACTAAAAAGGCAACGACCTTGGCAACAACAGAAGCCGTTGTCATTGAAACTGTTCCACCAGCCACTACAGCAAAACCGACGCCACGACTTCTTTTTAGCCTACCTGACGAAATAACTGATGTTGGGATTATAGATGGACACTTTACGACTACGAAAACGCCAAGAGTTGTAGAGGTTTTGCCAAGCAAAAAAGGTATATTTCATTGCATGATTTCTGTGTCAAATAAAATTTATGCTTATCAACTCAGGGTCCGTCTAAATTAAGTATACCCGTAAATTCAACTGGAAATTACTGTTCTACCGCTCTGTTATAAAGTGATCCAGGCATTGTAGGCATACCTCAGAATCCAGGCACAGAACTGCTCTATATAGCAGCTCCGAGTAGAGCAATTTAAATTGAATATATACAGACCAGTTTCGCAGCTAGGCGAGAAGAGGTATCGCTTTCCCAGTAGGCTAAGGTTTATGGATTTCGGAATGGAATGAAGGGCTTATCAGGGTGGTCGTTTGATATGATTTTGCCCCAGTATCCTTTGCTAATTTACGATGGTAATTCCACATAGTTGGCACCTGCAGTATGGAGAAATTGATTTTTATGGAGATGAACAGCATACCCTTTCATAATTTGTTGCTTTCTTACCATTGTTTGGAGAGGTCCGATAAAATAGAGGTTTCACTGTAAGGTATTAACTTGTATCTTGATGATTCAGTAGAATGGTATGTTACTGAAAAAAACACATTTTCTTTCAGAGGTGGAAAGTGGACCAGTATCACCAACAACCGATTCTAAACCTTCAACGGGATCTTTAAGCTTTCCAATAATTATAGCAATCGTACTTGGAGCCGTAGTTGTCAGTGCTATAACTGCAGTTCTGATTGTCCGGCAAATTAGAAAAATGGGCAAAGATGGCGATCGACCTGTGAGCCAACAGGAGAAAATGCTGCGGCCACCAGTGCAGTCTCCCGAATTTCACGAACTGCTTATAAGTGACAGACACATCCCACCGGCTGTTTTGCTTAAAGGCAAGATGATGAATGAACCTTCCGCAAAGCTTATTATGGACAGTGGCTATACGAGTCATGGCAGTGCTGGAGGTAGTGTCAAAGAAATGCCTGTTAGGGGCAATGCAGGTAGCCCCGTTTAGATGGATCTTCAACAGATGAAAATATTTGAAAAGATCGTATTTTATAATAAAGAGCTTTTATTGAAATTGCGATTAAAATCTGGCAGGTTAATTAAAAGATCTGGGATCCTGATGGGTGGAGATTCAAAGAAGTGATTCACAGACAGAGGCTGAAAAGATGACATATAAAAGATTATGCAAAGCATACGTTTTGATTGAATACGTCTTTGCAGGCATTGCCAGTATCTAAGAAAATGTTGAAACTGATGCTTGATACATTACCATTTTTATGGCAACAGTGAAGCGGCACAACATGGTAATGCCTTGTAAGGATCCATAGGTGCCTTGTAAGGATGTCCTCTCTTAACTGAACAGAAAGCGACTAGAAAACGCCTGTAAAAGTGGGCAGGCTGTTCATAACAAACAATGTTTTATCTTTTCAAATCACGTCCAAGCTCCGATAGTTACAGAAAACTGATGTTACTCTTAGTTGCAGTGCACGAGAAAGTCTTAGGAACTTTACAAGGAGCGTTATTTTTGAGAGAGAAAGCATCATGTACTGCTTCTTAATGGGAAACAAGATCTATAATTCTGGAAGATACCTGGGGGCTTTTTGTACAGCGATGATTGTAAAATGGTCGTCTTTACTTTTGAAAAGTTGTAGATGCCCGAGTTGATTAAGTTTATTGCAGAAAATGTAGATATTAAGCCGAACAATTTTTGGCTTTTTTGTAGATTTATATTTGCACTAGATTTGTAAAGGCGGGGTTAAAGTATGTAACGGGTCTGCATTTTGATCGACAAGGAATGACACCAAATTTATAGTTAACGACGTGATCGATACACGGCAGCGGCGTCGGCGAAAGAGGTTATAATCGCGTGTGGTTAGTCCTAGTATCGCTTGTGTTTCAAAGGCAAGGCAAAGGTCCAATTCTTGGTTACGTAGGCAAATCCAAACATAGAAACAAACACCATGAAAGTTTTCACCAAAATATTACTCGTCTCCAAACATATCCTGCGTCTCCAAAATATTACACGTCTCTAATATCAGCGCCAGTGTCGATACAATCATTTTAATCACTTCTTAACACTCTTACACGGTAAGTTCCTAGTAATGCCATTTTGACGCATTTATTCTAAAATATTAAGGATATTTAAGTCAACTTAAGTTAGTCATGTGACATTTCATTACCCATCTTCCATTTTTGTTGCAAAATACAAAATACTACGAAGCAAAGATTGCTTTGTATCGTGCTGAATTATCCAAGAACTCTAATAAAAATATTTTATTCTGTTATCGGACCGCCTGTCGGCTTTCCCTATCAAGTGAGCATCTTCTCGTCTCGAAACAACGCATAAAAGATGTGATTCTATGTTTCTGTAAAGGAGATGATCATAGGAAATCAACAATTTTGCTCACAAGTTCACTTTTTTCTGGTGCTTTAAAATACTTAGCACTAATTTACGCCTTCTACGATGGTATAAGATATCATGAATCGGCATATAAATCGGCATTTTTCACGACCAACCAAAGATATAAATATGTAATAATGCTTTTCGACAGGTACTCACAACCATTTTTGAAAACCATTTGCTGTTGCTTGTGTATTGCTGCCAAACGTTTCTATTTTCCAAGCAGACCAATATTGTAACTATTACACGAGTTCTGATTTTTGCGTAAAAATTTCGTGAATGATAGACAGAAAATCATTTTTTGTGAATATGATTGTTACATCTATTTAATGTTGTATCGCTAGATTATAGCATTCTATATGTTTGATAGATTTTCTTTGTCCGTGCCTTCCATCAACAATACAATACGTTAAAGGGAGAAACCTTCGCATACATTTTGATCCGTGAAACTCTCTGAAATACGAAATTCGCGAAAGTTTTTTCTCGCGAAATATCCAGAGAACTTTGCTTCGACCCTTATGGAAACTTCGAGACGAATGGTTGTTTTAACGAATTTTAATATTGCTTTCGTTTTATGGCATCAAGTGGAATAAAGATATAAAGAAACCTTAGACGACAAGAAATGTTTTGACGCAAAATCGATGATTTTTACTAAAACGTGAAAATATTTTTCTCGCAAAAGATACTATTTCACTTCTCTTTCAATAACTACAATCTCAAAAAAAATTCATAATGCTTTTCTCAATTCGCGAAACTTTTTTCACGCAAAAAATTATCTGCTTAAAATACTAGAGTGTTAAAGTGTCTTTAGATTTTGATACAAGACTTTTTTTTTACTTAAGCAAGCTGGGAAATAATCAAAAGCTGCTTTGAGGAAGCCTCCTTGAGGAACATCAAACAATTCATGCTTGAAGAGCTTATATGTAGTTATATGTATTTCAAATAAGTATACATAGTAATATATAGATATATATATATATANTTATATATATATATATATATATATATATTCAATAGCTCCTAACTTTAAAGTTCTTTAAAAATATAAATAGATACTCAATAAAAAAACAACTAGGTTGACGTTTCGCTATAAGCTTCTTCAGAATCAATTAATAATTCTGAAGAAACAATTAATAATAAGGATTTTGAAGAAGCTTATAGCGAAACGTCAACCAAGTTGTTTTTATTGAGTATCTATTTATATCTATATTTATATATATATATATCAAAGGCAGCTTTTTACCAAAAGGATTTCGCAGATGTTTAAAAATGAGTTTGCACATAAAAATAGACTAACTGCTCTCATGATGACCAGCTTTTATTATTTCTTATCTTTTTAATATACAAAAGCATTATTTTGTTAATTCATTAAACAACAACCAGCAAATTTGACCTTACAATAAAATATGAAAATCATTACAATCTTGAATAGAAAGTTTTATCAGAAGCAATACTACTGACTTGCACAACAATATTAGTTTACACTACTAGCCATAAAAATGTATGTATGGGCCCCACTGATGAAGAATACACAATTATAATTAACTTACAGTGAAGTAAGAGCAATATCATGAAATGAATCATAAAACCTGTAAAAAGTATATCAAAAGTGACTTACATATTTGGACATATCAAGATCAATGGGAATGTTGTAAAAGCATAATTGAGGTGATAATGATATCAGGGCAACACAGTTTATGTGAAATGAAAATACAGCATTACACTTTTGAGTTTAAATGTGAAAAAGTATTTGCATGGTTATAAAACATTATAAAACCAAAGAGAAATGAATGAGTTTTTCAATCCTCAGCTAACCAAAGCTGAAGCTGATGAACTACAATGTTTGCTTGCAATGTATTCTAAATGTTGTGTGTGGTGTATGCCTGACTTGTAGATGTGCAACTCTTAGTGCCATTTTATTGTTCCAGCATACCAAATTTTGTCATCTTTAAGTTCTTTAAAGCTTGTCCCAGCTTTAATTTCGTTCCACCAGCCAGGCAGAAAAGTCTCGCATATAAATTTGAACCAAGGTGTTATACTATGTCCAGCAGGACCAATAGTCTTCAAGAACTCATCTAGGCCCTCAGTACTTAGGAACTTCACATCTTCAACTTCATCCTCGTTAACACAAATGTCAACATCTTTCTTTATCAAGAGCACATGGTCAACTTCATTTTCGGCCCAGATATCACCAGCAGTTGCACTGTAATGTATTCTTGTCAATGAATGAATATCTTCAATTGGTACCTAGGAAAACATAGTTCATTTTTTAATAGCAGATCCAGTAAATGATAATCTGTTACCCACAAATTGGAATTTATCAGAAAGCATTTACCAAAGGGTTTAGCACACCAAAAATTGAAACTATTTAGAAAAAAATTAATCAGATGAAATTAAGAGAGCAGTATTTTGTGATTTGTTACAGGTAGTGCAAACATATTTGGTTTAAGCCTGACTTGCAATTAAAACTGAATGAAATACAATAAAATCAGTTTAAAAAACTTTTTATGCATTTTCTAGAACTTCAGACAAACATCTTTGCATGATGTCAGTTTTGAGATATGCTAACACCAATTGTAATTTTATGTTAATCACTCAAGGAAAACCACTCATGGAAAACTTGGACAAACTATACAACTGGTGCATTAGTAGAACACAAAAGAGAAAACTTGGAGCAGCAAGAAAAACCAGGATTGCAATTAAAGCTAAAATGCTGCATTCTCAAAATATGATTTATTGGGTATCAATATCCTTTCCTGCAAGGGTTGAAAGGTGTAGAGCTTAGGCGATTTTCTCTTTCCTCTCCTGCATTGCAACTGTCAAAATGAATCTAGGAACTAGTTTTGCAATGATATTTCTGTTCAACACCAATTAAAAAATTTGAAATATAGCCAGGCCATTTTTAAGCATAACCTAATATTCCTAAATCTTTTCCCAAAACAAAGTCTTTGTAATTTGTCACAGGATTGTGGTTTTTGGCCCAAATAAAATGTTAGTCTTAGCAGGTCTAGGATTTATAAGTATCAAAAAAACTCTGTCATGCTATGGATACATGGAATGGATAAAAACAAAGCAAATTAAGAATGCTGTAGTAGCCATGACCAAGAAATCTATGATCAGAATAATGTACAGTGGTAGTTGAAGACAAAAGGCATGCCACCATTCTTCTTGGAGAACAAACTGGTCAGGATCATATGCACCATGACTTAAAATTTTATTTCCATTAGATATTGATTTCACTCTATTGTACATATTTATAAGAAAATAATGAGCAATATCCAATGCTTTTCTTCCAGGAAAAAACCTGCTTTTTTGCTTCCTTCAAATTAAAAACTTTGGGACAAAACCAGATCTTGGTTCGGATAAAATTTTGTTCAAAGGAATGACAATTCCTTCAAAAACCAAAGGTGGAAGGCCCACAATTGACCTAAAGTGGCACATGCTAACACCTTCCAAATGAAATGGTGCCATGGTACACAAAGTGTTTGTTTTATAATCTTTTTGTTAAAATATTTGTTAAGTACTGTTCATAGCCAGAACCAGATGATTTCTATTGGATGAGTCTATTTCTATTGTATTTTACACATAAAATTGTATTTTGCTTTTGCTTTTATCAATATATAAAAATTCTTTACACTACTGGGTCAAAAGATATTAAGCAATGTTTATAAAGTGATATAAAGAAATGTCATCTTCTTGAGTTCGCTTTGCTTTTCAGCTGTTTCTAGCTTTGTCACCTATTCAAATTGCAGAAAAATTTAGATATTGACTGGAAGAGCTTTTGTGCAGGACTCGGAGTAAGCTGCAGGGTGCATTTCATGTCAACTGTACACCAAAGGTCCACAATGGCATTTGTTTAGGTATGCCAAAAATATCAGCAGTTAGTTAAACTGTAAATATTGTATGTCAGACAACAAAACTGATTAATAGAGAAAACTGTTGTGTATGAGTGGCTCTTGTTGTTTGCAAGTTCTTGTTCTTACATCAAGTTTTACGTACACCAACAACTTTTTTATTGGTTCGCACACTCAAAAATGCCGAAAAAAACTTGAGTGTACACTGAAGATCGTCAGGCCTATGTACATGGAATGCATTTTGGAGAAAGCTGAAAATAGGGGAAAGGAAAAAGAAGATGATGAAGAAGGAGAAGAAAAAGAAGAAGAAAAATTGAAATGAAAAATGCCTTAAAAACAGAAACCAAAAAACCTCCCACATTCTGAAATGTCAAAGGACAGTATAGTTTTAGAAGAATCACCAAAGAAATTGGTACTGATGCAATAATCCCAAAACAATTTGTTCTGATGACATTTCTTTTGAATGCAAATAAACTTTCACTTGAAATCAAATTTATTTGCTAGATTAGTCACATATACTATGCTTAAGCAAAATAAATTTATCATAAATCTGTTTATGAACACTTTTTGATAATGTTTGTAACTTTGTTTATAATATGCTTTGAAATCATTCACTTTTACAACTTTGTTTGAAGTAGACACTGTTGACCAATAACAAGGTGCATATCACAGCCAATATGTGAATTGCTTTTGAATCATGAATAAGCAGAATCATTGAATATTTATCCTCCGAATGACTATAGGCAAGTTAGCAAATGCATGTAATCTAATGTCATTTCCCAAAAATCTAGCAATTGACAGATTGTCTAGAACAGGCTCTTGAACTGCTTCTTGATTATATGCTTGCAATTTCACTGATTATGGAAAATATATTCATAATGTACAGTTTATCATAAGAATAGAATTCTAAAACATACGGCTTGCTCTAGGTTTCGAAACCAAAGTGACATTACCTGGGTTGCAGGGATACCCAATTCAAATTGCATTCTTCTTTGAGCTGCAATTTTGACACCTATGTGCTCATGGTCGTTCATTTCGATATTAGTAGCCCTAGGGTGACTACAGCAAGTATTTGTGTAGCATCCTGGATATGTTATTTTCAGCTTCGACCTCTTTTGGAGGAGCAATTCGTTTTTAGAATTAAACAAAAACACACTAAATGCTCGATGAAGTTGTCCGCCAGCTGATTTCAAATCACCTTCACTCCTGTTAGCTGCAATATGGCAATCTTTCTTTGAAGTTGACCCGATGATCCTGTCTTCTTTATCTACAATAATGCATCTGTCCTCCAGCTGGTCTACTTGGCTTTTGTCATATGAAGTAGTATCGACATCCATCTTCGTCGATAATAATCGACCATTTTTAGCATGATGGCCTATTCTATACGTGCGTCTAGTTATACCAGATATATATGTCTTGGCTGCTCTCCAGATCGCGAAATGGCTCATATTGAAGAGTAGTTAACAGTCTGAGGATGAAAAATTTGTTAAGCGTGAATATTTTAATCACATATTTGGCCAATTTCGATAGCAAGTGTTCCTTGACCTTAAAATTAAATTAATTATCAAATGCACCTTTAAGGTGGTAAGGCACCTACAATTTCCGGGGGTTTGCCGAGGTGCTAACTTTTTCCAGGACAAGACTGGGGAGCAACTTATCTCATTTTGAAAATCTAAAGCCCCCTTATCGATACTTATTCAAACATCAGGGGCAAGATACTTATTTAAAATACAGTTTAGAGTTGAACTAAGCAATCAAAATGAAATAGATATATATATAAATATATATTTACATCACATTTCGCCTTGCTTTGGAATTACTTATTGTTCTAACCATCAATAGAGTCAGGCAAAGGGACACGCTACCCTACTGCATAAAAACGTACAGAAACGTATTTGAAAGTGGAGGGGCCAAAAATCAGAATCTTGAAAGATCTTAGGAAAGGCTGCAACCATGGTTGGTGGCAAGAAAATTTTTAGAATTATGGTGTCTTAGGGATGGCCAGAAACTGTATCTAAAATAGATTTTGACTGAAGGAAAATCCGAGGCACTATATTTAAGCTTTGTGTTATCAACATATCCCAAAGTCTAATCTATTGTAATGTTACCTTGAAAAAGGAAGATCTTACAAAGTTTTGCAAGAGCCTTTATGATATAACTCGTAATGAAACTTTTTTAGATTGTAAAAGTACCCAAAATAGGATGGGGGAGAAAAATAAATAAAACACATTTTAATAAAAAGCTATCAAAAGAAGAACTACCAGCTAAAAATGAAAATTAAACATTTGTGTACAGTCTGGGTATAATTTTGTAGCATCTAGATTTGAAAAAACTAACCGGGGGCTGATCAAAAGACGTTTTAAAAGAATTTTCAATTTCGTCTATTTTTTTCTTTCTTAGTAGGAATGGATTATCCAAACGATCAAACTTTGAAGCTTTCTTGATTATTTTTATAAGAACAAATCTGTCTATTCTTTTTTTCTCGTATCCTCAAAAATGTTCTTTCCAGCTGTTTTTTCCCTTCAACAGCTGATTCTCCCTTTTGTTATGTTTCTGAGAAAGTTTTTTTAACAAATAGACCTTGAGAGTCAAGCTTAGGCCATAAAAAAAACAAAACTCCGTCAATTTGTGCCGGTACAAAGTTATTCTGGATCAGGTTTCTCGATCTATTTCCTAAGCCAAGTTGTTACTCGTGGTACAACTTGGACAATGACCGATTTCCACAATCAAATTCCCATATTTAATTTTTTTTATATTTCTTCTATGGTGCCGGCACAAATCGACAAAGCGACAAAGCAACCAAGCTAAGGGCATAAAACAGAGTTGCAGCAACTTATGAAATGAATTTTTTTTAAGCTTCTCTTGTCTGAGGTGGTCTAAGAGTTCTCCTGGAAATATGGCTTGCTAGAAATAAAGAAAACATCTAAAAATAAGAATCAGTGTTATTTTTACATCGACAGCTCGATCAAAGGCTCTAAAGGTAATCCTTGATGATTGAAAAGGTGACTTTCGCGGAATCGCAATAAGCAACTATATTTTCATCATTGTCCCTATTTCCTATGCTGCAAGCAGGAAGGATTCAACAGGCAGCCATTAAAAATTCCTCATTTGCATATGGTCACGTGACGCTCACAATAGCGTGTGGCAACAGGGCGGATAAACATCTGCTATTTGAGCGAAGGATACTGAACTCACAACTTCGTCCAGAACTTAATCGATTTCGCAGCTTTGTGGCCCAAACCCGACTTATAGATACATCAAGGTAAGGACAAGGTACAGGACCAAGTATTTATCGAATTATTTTCGTTTTTATCCTCAAATTAGGCCTTTTCAAAAAGGAATTTTCGCGAACAGAGCTTGTGTTTAATCGCCCCGGTTGTGGCGAAATGATTTTGTAGTGTTTGGAAAGATGCATCCTTACTTCATTGCTTTCAGGAACACTCCAACAAACAGCTTTCAATTTTATTTTGCCAGTTCCAATGATCTCCTATCGTGCTACTTCTGTCAATTTTTACCTTTCTCGGCTCTACTTATCCTGTAATTATTTTTAGGCTGCTTGATTTTTCCCTTCTATCATCTTTATCTCGTCTCGTTAGTTTCTATTGAATGACTTTATTTAGCAGTTTGAAAATTTGCCCCAGAACAAACCCTACAGATCCCGCAAAGGACAGAAATATTTGCTTTTCTTATATCTCATGTCCACGTTTCAGAAATGAAATCAACAGGAAGAGGAACATGTGATGAAAAAAGGCACTCTTAGAAACTGTCGGTAAACCGAAAAGTGGCAAAGTTTGACTGCTATGACAGCCGCATACTCTAAAATCATTGGCTGTATTATTGAAACAAGCAAGGAAGGTTTAGTTTTAAAAGATTCTAATCTTTCTTGATTACGACAAACCTCGCCAGGCATCAACTTGTCAAACGAAGTGAATTTACGGAAATAACCCCTCAAAAACTTTTAAGTAGCAAAAGGAAAATTTAAGTAGCTATTGAATCGGTTACTTTTAGTTTCAAATCGTTCCAATTTTTAATTTTTTTCATCGAAGTTACCGCTTTTACGCAACAAAATGCATAATTCCTTCTTTACTTCAAAAAAGGAAGAAAGAAAGGAACGATGAATGCAAGGAGACTGTATTTCCTCAGTTTGATCTAAACTCGTGATAATAACATTTCGTTTTCTCTACATTGATTTCCTTACCGGGGGTTGTCTTGTCAACAAAAAGGCGTTTGGTCTAGTGTCCTTTCGTAGTCCCATAACAAGGTGTTTGCACGCAGCTTTTGTGTCCAAAGGGGGTCATCTATACCGAAAGCTTTGTCGTCTGCACCTAATTTGTGGGTAGTCTGCACACAATGTGTGGGTCTTCTGCACCCGATGCAGGCATCTTCTGCACCCAATAAGGCTGTCGTCTGCATCCAATGCGCAGGTCGTCTGCACAAAATCTGCGTGACCTCTAAATCAAACGCACGAGTCATCTGCACCTACCGAGCTTCCTGGCTACGTGAAGATCCTTGTCGAACTTCGAAAAACGTTAGTCATACATACAGCGATCAATATGAAGACGGTCATTCTAGGGTTGGTTGTGTCTTGTACAGGGCCGTCGCGAGGCACCTGTTTACCTGATTAAAATTTCTTGCCTGAAACTCTTTAGTTGCTGTTACAAACCTCTGCAATACATTTTGTCAATCTAACTCTGTATATAATTTGCAACTTTCATTTTTATATGATAATAACGGACTTTCCTAATAGTTTTGTCAAATTTCTATATCGGGACGGGCAAAGGAAATAGTTACTACCCGAGGCAGCACCATGGTTGCCGCCGAAGGAGCAGGAAATTTTTCGAATTTTGATGCTTCTAGTTCCATGAAAAATGCACTCGTTTAAGCACATTTCATTAAAGCAATCTTTCTAGTCCTATTTAAACTTATTTTTTTGCAAATAATTGAACACAGATAAAAATTATATTCCTCTTTCCATCTTAGCATGCCTTTTCAAGTTAAAAACATCTTGAGCTCATAGTGAATTGCAGTTGGCGCTTCTACCGAGAAACTTTAGGGGAAATGGACACAAGACACATTTTTACCTAAGGAGGGCCTGAATTTTTTGATTTAGTGCTAACAAGAAATCTTCAAATCTTCATTAGTTTGTTTACCTTCATTCATATCAAGAAATATCATATTTAACCAACGGAGTAACTACCTTTGCTTGACCCTTTATGACATGAAGGTCTCTGAAATACCTTCAGCGTTTCTTCCACGGAGCGGATTTTACCTGAACTTCCCTATTGAGATACCATTTGAGGGAGTTTGCCCCCGGAGGGGGGTTGCCCCGGTCGCGACGCTTGTAGGTATGTAGAGACGTTCTGCTTTTCAAACGATAACCCCTGATCTTTGCTTCTTCGATTGCACGATAACCCTCGATCATTGCTCCTTCGATTGCTCGAATGAGTTGCAAAAGAATTAAGATAATATTTCAATTATCCTCTCTGAAGACAAGCAAATATTTGATTTATCCTCTATTGGCTATCATACCCAAAATCTCAAAATGAGCTGGCACCAAAGGCGCAAGGGGGCAGGTTGCCAGAGAATTCCTACCCTAGAAGTGATTGTGAAGTTTGCAAATTGGTATCTTACTGAGGAGGCTGCCGTAGGGCAGTGAAAATCCTAAGAACAAATTATTAACGTGAATGCGTGTTTTTAATAGTGGTTTTTAAACTCAATAAAGGACCAAGTTGCCTAATTATAATTTGTCATATAACAAACAGGATCTCATCAAGTCCTTGGCTCAAAATACCAATGACCGAAAGTCATTTAGTAATTATTCAGGCAAAAACTACAGAAGTAGGAATAACTATTAAAAAATAGTTCGCCATCGTTTGCTAAACAATCTCGTATACCATGCACAATAGAAAATATGTATCGCGCAACCTTCCAATCAAATATTTCATTTTATTTCATTTGTTACAGAACCATTCCTTTTAAAAAGGGTATTCTCCTTTTGCAGCCCTTAATGTATTTTCGTTCGAAGAAAGAGTGGTACATTTATGTCATCGCGTTTAGTTCATTGTGTCACATCACAATTTTCACCAACGAGACACGACTATCCAACAGAACCTTTCATTCAGCGGGGAATGAATGCTACTCTCACCCATTTAACCTCTCTCTCATCTCATTCAGCTCATTTGAAGTAAATCAATTTGTATCTGTGTCTGTACAGTGTAACTGAATAGATCAAGCTACAGTTCGAAATCGGGACATTCGATAACCCGGCAGTGGGAGTCCTATTCAGGGGCATAGGGAGGAGGGCTATTTTTATCCTATGAATATTCTTTTTATCCTGGTAAAACTTTTGTTTCGGCGAAGGATCTATTTTTGTTTCGTTTGCCATCTTTATTCAATGGTTTTTGTTTGCCTTTTCAATTTGATAATTTTTACATATTTATTCATACCTGTTTGATGTAAGGGGTTAAAAACACCGTCCATATCTCATATCTGTTTTCTATAAGCAAGATCCCCATGGATTTTATTCTTTTGACAGTCTTCCATTCTAGGCAATTGTTCTTGATCACGTGACAGAAGGTCGCTCACTACATTCAGAAACAAAGCTGTTAGTTTCGATATTATTAACCGCAGGTTTATTTGAAAATTGTCGTTCATTTATATTTTATTTCTAAACAGAAGCGCAATGGTTGGGGGGGATGCAAGAAGCTATACCCCCCTGAAGCAATGAAATTGTCAGGAAATTTCGGGCGTTTTTCCAATTTGTTTGAAATTGTTGGAAAATTCAGTCATTATTCCCCAAAATTTTACACCACTGCCCTCCTTGTTATACACCAGTCGGACAGAAAATGCAGAATTATTATGAATGTATGCTAGATAACCTAAGCAACGTCAGGATTTAATTTCTAGGAAAGTACCACAAAATTAAGAGAGTGCAGAGGCATTGTTCAAGCCATCTTGTCAAATGAGAGCCAAGAAACGTGAATAAATTAATGACTGGATTTTTGCTTGTTTATTAATCATATTTACTATGCAACATCATTTTTGTTTATCATTAATTTGATTTGTGTCTCCGCCTCCTTCCCCGCTGATCGTTTTTCCCATACTAGCTGCTACTTAAATGGGATTGTCATGTTTCACAACACGGCAAGATTTTTGAAAGTCTCTTGAATGCCCTGATTGGTTCCCTTTTAAATAATTTTAGAACTTGCTCGATGTTGCTTTGAAAAGTCGCGCATAAATTATTCTTATCTGGAGTGAGACTCTGAAACGAATGGCAGCTATCTGACTGGTTATTAGGCCTTGATGCACATTACTGCTGCCCTCCTCTGCTGCCCGTAGCTAAGAGTTTGGTATTTACGTCCTAGTTTTGCATTGCATGGCTGTTTATTTACTGTCACCTTCTCAAAATAGCATTATTGTTACACTTGGCTTTTTTATCTAGCAAATAAAGATATCCTCTTTATAAGGATCTTATGAGCATCTACTCCCAGACTATAGTCAAATTCTCAGCAACACCAAATACGTAATATAACTGTTGTATTAAGTAACCACCAACATATCCTGTGTTTTTCGTCCATGTTTCACAAAAATGTGGGATTTGCTAAGATTTCTTTTAATTATAGGATTTGCTAAGTTTTCTTTTAATTATAGGATTTGCTAAGTTTTCTTTGCATCAGTCAATAGTTTGTGTAGGACAGGAGATTGTTTCATTATGGTGCAACAATTATCTAAACCTACGGCAACTGTTACAGTCATCCGTTGCCAGCAACCTAGGAAACCTAGGAAGCAGTTCAGAGTTGGGGGCTGGGGAATCAATGTTGTTTTTCTTTATCAAAATCAACGTATTTCAACATTCATGTAGACTTTTGATTAGGAAAGTGCATCTGTTGCATTTGCTACCAAAGAATAATGTCTTGGTTCATTGTCCTAATTAATATGGCCTTCTGAAATTTTCCAAAGCAATTGTTTCAATGAAATCAGACTGCAAACAGGCTGACAAAAATGATTATTAGGGCCATTTTCACATTTTGACTGAGTCAAAGCTGACTTTGATATTTTTTGAACGTCTAGAAATAGGGGACCTGGCATGTCTGAGCTGTCCAGGGGCCCACCATGGCTCTCGACGTGCCTGACAATGATATCCCATATCATATACCCGCTCAAAATTGAATTGGTGAATCTCCTAATCAGACCAGGCGTATATTACAGCAAGGGTAAGATTGTGATAACAAAGGACTTTTGTGTTGGTTACGAATTTTATTGTTCACCTCTTTATATTAGTTTCAAAGGACATTTACACCTCTCGTTTGTGTTGTATACAGATTATGTTGTTTACAGAATTAGAGTTGAGTAAAACCTTAATCATGCAAGGTAATAGTTTTTCTTATAGTTCTACTTTACGACAAAGATCTCTCCGAAATTTTTGCAACCGTAATATTTAGCTACCCTTACCCTCCGGTAAATCATCACTCCAAATATTGCCTCTAGAACATTGTCGATAGGACAATAAGAAAACATTGGTAACTAGATTTCCTATTTACTTCGTCTTGATTTTCATGACAGAACATCTCCCGTTTATTTTTCTTCTATTGATTGAAAATTTGGATCTATCCTCAATCTGTGCCTCAATGCTTCTGCAGCTTTTTCTTCTTCTATGACATGCCCTCATTCCTCACCCTCTTTACATCGGAATTTGAGGGCCGATCACGAATTGCCCAGGCCCCAGAAGCCCGTCTCGTGGCTCTCGTCGGGCTTTGCTCAGGTTGATTGAATTTGTGCTAATGAACATCTAAGTGAAGTGAGATTTACGTTCGTCCTCTTTTCAAATATTGCCAGTCACTATCAGGTGTACCTTGAATGCTTATAAAATTTCTTGGATGACCGACAAGCATTTCTTTTTTAGTTTTTTTTAATCTTTGTTTGACATTTCGTCATACGGGTGTGACAAGTCGGCAGAAGGGGAGAAGGCATTTTTCCCGCACTCTCTATTAATCATTTGATTTTCTCAAATTTGTAATAGCTCACAATCACAGCTGTTTATTTTAAGATATTTTGTTTTCAGGCTTTGTGGTGGCGAATGTTTAGCAGGTGAATTTTATTTAAGAGATAGCTCAGTTTCTCTGACCGAAGATTTATATGGACCACTGCATTTTCATCGTTGTTTTCGAAAAGACCACGTTTTTGTAAGGCAGTCTTTTATTACGAAATATTAGAACAACAGCTGGCATTGTTTGCTTCTTTAAAGGTTTCGAGCAAGATGATTCCTTGCAAGGAAGGAAGGCGCAAACTTCGCCATTATTCGACCATGCATAATTAGCATGTGTCAAGTAAATTGAATAGCGTGTGGCAACAGGGTGCATAGGAAGTATTCAAGCACAAGATTTGGGATTGAAAACAGAAAGACGTTCGCTCTGTTGGCGTAGAAATCGCTCATTTGCCTTTAGGTACGTATTTCTGATAGATTTAAGTCAAATGGAAAAGAACTAACGAAGTTTTATCGAAGCAAATGTGTGTTGTCGTGACTCTGTTTTAACGTCGTCATGGTGTTTTCAATGGCCTTTTTGTAGGCCTTCGCGTCCTTTTCACATAGCCAACCTGCATTGCTTTGACTTTGTGGTTTGATGCTCGATGGTCGTGTTTTTATAAAAACACACAAGAGCAAGAAGTCGAAACGAAGAACCATTGCAGAAAACTCAATCTCATTGGTTTCAAAATCTCCTCCTCTCTCTTGTATACAATCATAAATGAAACGGTCCTGTGAGAATTGTTTTTTTACTTCAATCTGATGATTTGCTTTTTTTTCCATGGTTCACCAGTTAATCCCCAAGAAACAGCGACCTTTGACGGCGTTCTACTGAACAATTAAACAGTGACTTTTTATTCTTATCAAAAATCACGTGCTAAGGGATGGATATTCAATTATTACTTTGTCTATAAGCATCCAACGTTTTAGAATAGTTTTTCCAGGTTGCTTGATTGCAAGCCCCCTCTTAAAAGATTTCTAAATCCCTGTACACATTTATGATCTTTTCTTCATTTCCGGTATTTGCCTCATCACTTGGCTCCTCGATTATAGAGAATAAACTATTTGTCAATGAGATATTCGATTGCAGTTAGCCGTTTATTTTGTCAGTCGAGCAGCAAAAATAGGCATCCATAGCCTACCTTATACCCCACTCTCATTCGTTCATCCCAATCCACTTTTCCACTCTCTCAAATCCTCTCCAAAGAACGAGTTAATTAGCTACCATATCTACATTAGACATATGAAAACACCTTTAAGCCAGTTTAGATTAGGTATACCTTCCTTATATCTGTATTTTATTTTCTTGACGAGTTTTTTTCTAGTAGCGACGACTGAGTAGCTTCTTTCCGATGCTCCACACTTTCATGGGCAGTTAGATCAATCTGCCTGGGAGACTGAACAAGTTGCTTATATAGTAAATTTAGTAAGGGTTGTGTGAGGGACAATATTTGTGTGATTGCAGTATTTTGTTAACTGTAAGCCAGAAATATTTCTTTTCATTTTCGCTGACCCATTCCTAGTCAAATTCTTCATGTCCGCATCTGAGGCTCAAGCTCCAGTTGTTCGTTATCTGCGTGAAAGTTGATCTATTGGCGTTCTTTTGCTGTCCACACCTGTTGCCCCCGCCATTCAATGTCAAATTTAGGGAAATATGTTAAAATTAATGAAATCTTTGGACACACTATCCTGCAATAACAGTAAAAAAATTACTTGATTGTATATGACTTTTGCTCTGATGAAGCCCCATATGCCGGGGCGAAATATTAGCCATCTCAAATTATCTCGTGTTCATCGTTGTTTGTTCTCGTTACCTTGCGGTGCTCCTTATTTTCTACTATTTGATTTTAACATGTAACTACTTAATTGCTTACGTACGTAAAGTAGAATGGTTTTTTCCATTCGATTTTGCAATAAACTGAGCAGCAAGGAAGACCTCTAAATGCAATAAAGCTAGCCAAGAACCTCGTCGTTGATATAGAGTTGATGGGGCAACTTGTCTCCCTAGTTTGGCAGAGATTAGTTGTTCAGATCTGTGGTCTAAGCGTTTCATTCAACCTACCCCAAAACTGAGCCTCACATTCCCCTAGAATTATTTAAGTGTTCCAGCTCATTTTTACCAATTTTCATAGAACAGTGCTCATGTAGAAAAAAGATATAGAAAAAAGGAAGGAACAAAGGTTTTTCATACGATTCAAGCCCTCCCACACCCTTAGCAAAACAAAATACCTTTCTATAAAATCTTCTGTTTTGAGTATTTCAATTTCCCTCGCCCTCTTTTCCAACTTCCATGGGATCCCCTAATTACTAAAAAGGATGATAGGGAAGGAGGGGCGGCGGAATTAAACATACAAAAGACCAAAAGCAAGGCTATTTCTGTATTGTTTAATGTACAACTTATAAAAGGGCTTTAGCCCCCAGTCCCTTCTCCCGGGGCCCCTGCTATCACCTTTACTTTTCAAATTTAAGCCGCTTTTCATTCGTTTTCTCTGTCTTCTTTCCCTGACACGCTCATATGCATCTTGTAGCTGGATGTTCGTGTTGAAATCGATGTTTTTTCGTTTCCTAGGTTCTAAATATCTTCTTGAAAGGCCCTTTCGTCATGCAGTATGTTAGAGGGATAAAACAGCTAAATCCTCACTTGATTTGCATTCTTTGCGGAGGTTATCTTATCAATGCTACAACGCTGATAGAGTGTTCTCATTCATGTAAGTATCCAACTTGTATTGTCTTGCTGCATATCTAAACGGAGTTTAGAGGGATTGACACTTATGAAGCAGTGGTGCATCAGCTACAGGACACATTGGGCACTGTGCCCAGGACCTCTAGCGTTAGATTGTCCCTAAATAATTTGGCATCGTCAGGTTTCATCGGAAAGGTAATCTATAACACATGATCAAAGTCAAATTTGTTGACAAAAATCAAAGTCAAATTTGTTGACAAAAATATTTTAGTTCAGGCCCATGTGCAGCAATCATCACATCATCAGATACGTACATTTATATAGGGGCCCCCATTATTCAATAGAAGGAGTTTACTTAGAATGCATGTGGCAGTGGGGAAGTGCCACTTCTTAATGGTACTTTTATGATCAAAGTCAAATTTGTTGACAAAAATATTTTAGTTCAGGCCCATGTGCAGCAATCATCACATCATCAGATACGTACATTTATATAGGGGCCCCCATTATTCAATAGAAGGAGTTTACTTAGAATGCATGTGGCAGTGGGGAAGTGCCACTTCTTAATGGTACTTTTATTTGTATATGCTGGATTATAGGCATGTATTTTGTCGTTGTGGGTACACACCTTGAGATATGGATAAAATCTTGCGAGTTATTAATTTAAGACAGAATCACATTCTACAAAAAACCAAAGCAAATGACAAATATGGCAATAGTTGTTATAAGGTTGGAGCTTTTTGCTTCTGGTTAAGTTTTTTACCAACTTTTACTCCCGTTTCATAAGAAATAATCCTTATTTGCTACGGGATCCAATATAATATTAGTTGACACAACTCTGTCTCCTTACCTTTAACGAGACCGCTCCACCGCTCCATTCCAGATTAAGTAAGATCAGAAAATGATTCCTCTCTACGCTTCTTGAAAGAGAAGGACTTCAGCATAAAGTAAAATTAACCCCTGATACTTTTAGAGTATCAGTAAACAAACCTAGGTTCAATCTTTAGTGGCGAAGCTATCGGGGGGTGGAGGGGGATTTGGTTTCCCCCCCTATTCTTTAGTTGGTGCAAATATTCCCAGCTTTATTGGTAAAATTGTCTATCGGTAGGTGAAACAGCAATTCAATTTCCCTTTATCTATGTCTTCATCGGTAAATTTTACTACTCATGAACCTCCACCCCCCCCCTAGTCTGTAAGGTCAAGCTACGCCACAGATAATCTTTTCTGTGTCATACTCTAAAACAAAAATTCTTTTTGCATCAACGTGAATTTGCCACTTTAGCTAAGCCTATCTTTGTATGGCGTTCGATGTTTGGAGATTTAAAGCTGATTGGGAGCAATTTATTAATATTCCAATGCCTTACTAGAAAAAATATCTGATTATGATAGAAACACTTTTTCAAGAAACACTATATGATGAAGCTAGGGCACCCCTAAACCTACTAGAATAAATTACAGGACAGAAAATTCCAGACCCACCCCTCCCCCTACATTGAGACAGATCTAGATTTGAATTTTTCTGTCAAATGCATTTGAGCCTTGTACAGGATTTCCAATAAATCGGTTTTTGTAATGATACAACCTTTATAGCTTGCTTGCAGCCATTACCAGTATCACTCACTCGATCCGTTTGACATCCAATAGTTTTCTTAAATAGTATACAAACGTGTTGCAACTCAGAAAGCCATTTAACGTTTTATCGGTAAGCAATATTTATCCTTAGCCCTATACTATTCTCTCCGTATTAACGAAACTCTGTGACCACATTACTGAAAAGCGATTTTCCAATTTCAGTTTGCAAGACTTGTATTGTTCAGTATTTGGAAACCTCTTTCAACTGTCCAGTATGTGAAACAGAAGTACACAAAACGAAACCTCTAGCCAACATAAGGTAATTCGATTTATACTTTCAATTATTCAGAAAGCAGCAGTCGTTGAACACAATTCTCTGTGAAACCATCAACTTAATGGGGTGCAGCAAACCAGGTGACAGGCCCACATGATTCGATGTCGAAAATTCCATGGTGATTTCTGACCTCTACTACCCTGAATGTTTCTTTGTGAATTTGCGATGTTCCTCTACGGATTTTGATGCCATTTTCATCGGTTTGCGATGTCCCTCTATTGTGTAGATTAAGTCATCTGTTCCTCTACTGTTTAGAATAAGTCATCTTTCATGGCAGAGGGCGGTCCTTCACTTGCTTTTAGCTAGAGTCTCCGATTCGTGCATTTCATCTGTGTCTAAATTTAAATTCATTCTGTACATGCCTCAGGCTGCAAGACCATCTAAAGCAGAATGTCCTAAAGGTTTGACTGATGATCTTTAAGCAAATTGCAGTTGCTTTGAACCTTGGAACCTCCGGCCTAGTAGTATATGATTGGAAAGGGTGAACGCAGTGTATTCAGGATGTTTTTTCTTCTGGATTTTCCAACATTAGAAAAATACCAACTAACAAGCAAAATAATATCATCTAATTTTAATATGCCTATTTAGTTTATAGGTTTCGCCGTAACAAACGTGTTGTCCATTGTTGTAATGTGATATCTGCACCGTTAAATTGAATGGTTCCACCAGGCCAGAATCCATGGCTGCTACCGTGAGGCTACGTCTCTTGCAACATGCAAACAAAACCTATATGGAAGTAGGCTTTCTCCCTCGGATTTGTAGTTCTATCATTTCGGTTTCAAAATCATGCATTTGACATTGAATTGGTGGAGGGGAAGTTATTTTTCAAATGAAAGAGAAAATATCAACTTTCCTTGTAAAGTCTCAACTATTTTTTTCCGGGATTGTAGCTGCGAAGTTTTCTTTTTAATGAGATGGAAAAGACCGTCTTTAATAATTTACATTGCTGATGGATGGATTTTTATAATGACCATAAATTGTTACTTAAAAATATTTTAACTGCGAGACAGTAAGAATCTTTTTAATAAAATGACTGTTTTTCTATTTTCATAGATCTGACCCAACTTTGCAAGAATTAATCTACAAACTTGTTCCAGGCCTCTATAAACGTAAGTCCTCTTTGATACTTGTTTTCTAATACCAGTTCTATCATTTTTCAAGCTTTCTATTCCGCTACAATTCCACAATATGGTATATCTGACAACCCAAAAACGCCGGTTTTTTACCAGCTAAGTTAAATTTTTTCAAACAATATCCGGGAGAAAATGTTGTCGTAAAAAAAGCTATTTGTTTGAAATTTTTGGTGGACTGGGATCGGAATTTTATTTTAAAATAGGTGAAATTTGACTTGGAAAAGTTCAGTACTTTTCGAATAAAGCAACTTTAAATGAAAAGAGGATCCATGTATTTTTAATAAAAGTAGTCGGAAATAGAAGCGATTTTTGCTAAATCTGAATTATATATTTTCTTTATTTTCTTAGCTAGAATGACGGACTCTATATTCTTATGCTCTCTATGAAACCCTACAAGACACTTCTTCTTAGCAATCGTTGCCTGCACTCATTTCTGGGTCATTCCTTTGTCTGCTTAAAACGAAGATAGGCCAGTCACAAAATAAACCAAGAACTGCCTCTTTCTAACTGCCTTGATAATTCCACCAAGCCTTTATTTTCGTTTGCTGGCGATATCATAAGTTTTTTCTAATTATCAAGAAAATTAGCAAACGTGAGTCATTGAGAGTTTTCCATTGGTATGCAGGGGCCTAATTAAGGAATTTTTTGAGGAGGGGCGGCGGGGGGTCATCTCAAGGGGCCAGCTTTCCATGATGACATTTTATGAATCAATGTTAGCATGAATTGAAAATGTTCCCCTCCCTTAGAGACACCCTATGATTTGCACAAATTTAAGTGTTGCAAATATCTTATTCTTTTTTTCCAATTTCTTTTCAGAGTGCTTTTTCTATTTTTTTCAAAGCCAATGTCCTGCGCTCTTTTTAAGTCTTGCAGGGAAAAATGTAGGGAATATCAGGATACTTGTGCATTAAGCGATCAAACGATTGCCAATATTAGAACCGTATTTTTTACTTTATTTCAGAGGAAAAGAAAGCTAGACAAGTATATGAACTCAATCGAGAAAAAGATCGTTGGAGTAAGTATTGCTTTTGTCCTTCCTTTCCTATTCCAAACTGTTTGTTTCTTTGACACGATAACCTCCCTTACAAGTCATCACAACCGTTAACATACTTGTGTGAGTTTATCTGCAGTTTTAGCCGTTATTATTATACAATAAGTTATCTTTTAAATTTTTCGTATCAGAGAGCACGCGGACATCACCTTTGTTAACCAAATACCTCTTTTATCTTTGTTTTCCAAGAAAAGCTGCAGGTACAGACATCATTCTGTGTAGCAGTTACAATGAGTTCTTTGAAGACAAATGTTGATATGAATTTGAAGGCTGAATATTATATGATAATTAGAGTGGTAAAATAAGTAGCGTCCATTAACATCTTTTAATTGTTTTCAAGTTGACAAAAGATATCTATACTAAATTGTTGACTGAAAATCAATTATTTCTTGTGTTGCACTTTTTGAAAGTTGGACGGTGATTCTTATTCTATCTCTCCTTTATTAGTATGAATCCTACAGTATTGCAGATATCTACGTCAATAGCCATATTGAATTGGCTGATCTAATTCCTAGTCGATTAAAGTATGGAATTTGAAAGAGGAAAACAACGTTTTATCATCAAAATATATGTTGCTCTAAATTTAGAGATTTAAAAGAAGGCGTTATGAAAGAAGGAAATTCGTTATACGCCATATGTAGTTATATTATATAAAGTTTGCAATATTAGGCATGCACATCTAAAACAATCCTATATTTGTTATGGTCTCTTAATTGTGACAATCCTTTTGCAGATCAACCTGGTGGATCGTCAGAAAGAGACCCCGTGCTTGAAGATTATACAAGAATACTTGTGACGCTTACATATTTTAGGTAAAAGCAAATCATTTCAACTGAACTTCAACGTAATTATGCAAAGAGGACATGTGTTCTGGTTTTCAATTTATAAATGTTGGTTCAGAAGAGTGCGCTCCTACTTTTCATCTGGTAATATAAATTATGCATATCTAGACAGTTGTAATTGCGAAGCGATGACTAATAGAAAGCTGACTTGTTTTAACGAATTGTCAAACCTTCTTAATTTGTCATTTTATGCCTATTTTTTGTTTGCAGGAGAAAAAGGCCTAGAGCTGTTCGCAATGACAGGGTAAAATTTTGTTTACTGGATATTCTTCCAATTTTCTATTAGTTGTCAGTTTTCTATATTCTCTTAGAAGGAAACAACCTTTTTTGAGTTTAAATTTAGCGTTTTCAGACCATAGTATATATCATATTAGTGCCTGAATTTCTTCTTTGCTTGCAAAATCAAAGTTTGCATAATGAGTAAATTACAAGGAAATGTCATTTTTAAACGAGTAAACTTTCCTGTTATCTAAATTTTGTAGTTAATTAACTTTGCTTACCTAAAACTTCATTTATTTGAAAAGCTTCTGTTCATATAATTGAAAATATGCTAGCTTTAAGAACCTCTAGATAATGTTTTTCTGTTTCTCAATTTGAATTTAATGTAGTATGCAAGTTGAAGCTGTTAGTCAAATTTCTGTCTAAAAGATTCCTCAATTTCTCAAGCTGCTAGAAGGATGCAACGAACGCAATAAGGATCGTTCATGTATAGGTTACCAAGCACTAAAATAAAGGTCACTATTGTATTAATGGATAACTAAGGCCGTGAAATGTATGAGAAAAAATGACGCTTACAATGTTGGCTTAAGCTAGGGAAGACAAAGAGGGTATTCTCTTGAAAAGCCTTTCTTTCTTTGTATTCTTGTCCGGTTTGGATTATTCAGATGCTTTTCTCAAGGATATGCTTCCATTTCCATTCTCATTTTCGGGACACTCGCATCGTTAGTGACAGGACCCACCTGTCACTTTCCGACTTTGCTCATCCCCAGCTAGCAACAGCAACGAATTCGGCCAATCAGCCAGCATCGCATCAACGTCAGCATATTCTTCAAAGAACATCTCATTTTCTTTATCATCCCCTTTTGAGTAAATAGCTAATGATAATTATATTATTTTGAAGGATGATTCTCTTTGTGACAATACAAAACCTTTTAAAAATCAGTATTTAGTCTGCACTTCGCTTTTCGTATATTGAGTTCATTTATTATGAATACTCTCTCTTTGTTGCCAAATTTACCATGCATGGGTTTATCAGTGAATACCTATAATTTGAGCTGTGCTTTCAAAGACATTTCTCGCCTGATAATTTCATCCCATATTAGGTTTGACATCTGATTTTCTTTTTATGTTCAGGTCACAAGCATGTTTCCAACTCGTTTTCTCTGCTGCCCATTAAACCTTCCAGTTCGAGTCATGAAGAAATTTATTCTCAAAAAGTTTGACCTGCCTTTACATTGGGATGTAAGTACATACGAGTTTCTAGATAATTGATAGAAAATGAGGTTTTTTACCATTCCAGTTGCTGTTTACAAGTGGAAGTTACTAGTCAAAAGTTGAATTAGAGAATCTCTCAGGTTGCTAGCAGAATATAGTCAAAATAATCGGCGTGCGACATTAAAAGCAGTGTGTCGCGCTGCTCATTGGCAATTTTGTGTTGAATTTCGAGGGACCTCGAATTTAGAGAAGCGTGACAAATTAGTACAACTGATCAATAGCAACTAAGAAGCGTCCTTTGTTGCGAAATGAAAACTCACTGAAATAGAAATTTTGTTCTTTGTTTCGATAAACCAATGAACGGCGCGACGTACTGTCTTTAATACCTAGATAACTATATTTGTCTTCATGAATATAAGTTACTATTGTATGAACTTACTGTCAAACCATTTTTAGAATGAGTTTAACTGATCAGATTTCAAAAATCATAATGTTGTAAAAGATAACTGGAAATGAATTTTTCCAAAACGAATCTTTCTTTTAATGTATTTCGACGTTATACCTGTAATTAAAACCTCAAGAATATCACTGACTGCAAGATTCCTAGCTTGGGCATCAGAAAATTTCCAGTTAAAGATCTGGCTGACAGAAAAAGCGTGATTAAGCCTCGGATAAGTTTATTTTTAAAAGACAGCTTGAGTAATCCAGGCTGCCTCGTTTGAATGATGATGTGTTCTACAGATTGATGTTTGGCGCACAGATGAATCCCTTCTGGATGATTTAACCTTGGACGACATTGTAAGAATTTATGGAATATTTCGTGAGGTTAGTCCTAGTTTCCTGACATTTTACTGTTTTAGCAAACTTTCTTCTGTACTTCGAAAAACAAGCAATCGCAAACGAGGTGATAATAAATAATAAAATCTAATTTGGGTGTGGTGTATTTGGCAAAAAAGATATTGCAAACAATATTTCTCTTGTTTTCATTTGAATTACTGTGCGTTCTCAACAAACAGCCTGTTTGAAGCTAGTTATTTAACTGTCAAGACCTTTCAGATAAGAAGCATCGGATAACGCTTTGTGTTTTCTGATTGTTGAAACCTTTTCATTCAGCCGGTGAACTTGACAACCCAATTTCAGGGTTTTATGTGGTTTTGTTTATCATTTTATGTTATCCATTTTATTATTTAGAAAGGTTTCGTGAAGGAAAAGTTTTAACTTACGGTAGATGTTTAAGCATATTTCTCAAAGCAGGCAGAAAAACATAATTACACAAGGAATTTATAATTTAACATTATGATTAGAAAACAATGGTTGTAGTCTCTTATATCAAAGAGACTACCACGAGCATCTTAACTGGAAAGAAAGAGACAATCATTTGTGAAGTTGCAAGATTTCAATTGTATATTCGTCCCTTTAAGGATGGTGTTTCGGTTGTGTTAGCCTCCTTAATCCTATGACGATAGGCTGTAGGAGTCGTAAGTAAGACGGAACGGTTATCATGGACCACAAATGCTAACAGGTGAATCCTGAAGATGTTTGAAACGTGAAAATCCCTACTTGTCAATGTGTACATAATTTAAAATGCCAGCATGTCTCAAAGATGTAACAGGTATTACTGTTTGCATAAGACCCGCCATTAGAGTTAAATTAAGGGTAGGAGCCTTTGCGCCAAAGCTAATTCTTATATTCTAAGAAGTTTATCGAGATCCGTGAGGCTCATTGATGGAAATCTGTTTTAGATTGTTTTGATGTATTGTTATGTTTCATTTCATTAGAGAAAACCGTTGGAAATATCGTTCAGTGTTACCCCAAAGGACGCCGAGGTGTTCCAGGGCGACAGTATCACCTTAAACAAAACAGTTCAATTTGACTTGAAGAAGGAATCAAATGCAGCCAGTACAATCGCAGCGAGGAACATTTTAACCACCACCCCGGACCCGTCTGACGACGAAGATGGCAAAGACAGTAAAGAGAAACAGACAAAGGACGACAATGTTATGGACGTAGATAAAGAGGAAAATGACGGTGCTAACAGTGGTCTGAATTCTAGTAGTCTAGCAGAGGTTCACGTTACTAGCTAGCAGTTTATGTTACTAACTTTATTTATGGTATCAAGGAGAATAATTGAATGCAGCTGTTTTGATTGGAATAGCTAGAAGACATAAGGCGGTTTTACAACCAAAGTTTAGCAAATTTGGAGGTACAATCCTTGCCCAAAGTCCTCGGAACACCCTGCAGTCAATGAAAGATTTTGATGAAGTAAAATTTTCCGGCCGTAAGATACAGAAATATCACCCTCCCCCCCCCCCTTAAAAAGGTTAGTTGAGAAGCCTGTTACTTAAACTAGCTGACAGAGTTACACACAACGGATGAATTCTGAGCTTTGTGACTGTTGTTATTCAAGATTACTTTAATGGGGAGACTACTGAACTTATGCAAAATATTTGTGTAGTGCACCAAGACTTTTGGCAAGCATTGTAGCTTGAGTTCAGATATGTATTACTTTCCCAGAGGTTAAATTGCAGTCTAAAATCTAATTGCATCAAACAGTATATTTTGCAATTGATGAAAGCACAGCTATTTGTATTCCTGTTTTACTTCTGCTAGTGTCTCACATCTGCAATATAGTAGATTAAGATGGTTTTCAGTTTTCTATTGGCTTCTAATGTCTCCTCCCTGTGAGCAAGCCTGTTGTCTGGCGTATTTTATGTCCCTGACTTCAATAGCGGCACAACAGACTGTAGGGGACATGTCTTTCCTAGTCTTTGGCGAGATTTATTTTGTTTTTCGTCTAAAGTTGACGAAAATGTTTTTGGGGAGTGATGATAGTTCCACAAAAGCATTCTTTGTGGTATAATTCTTTGATTTAAGGTTTGCTTTTACATAACTTCAAGTTTTCATGGGTATTCCCTTTTGGTAAAATGGGGGTTTCTTGTTGGTCAAAATGCATTTTCTTACAGGAAAAAGGCCGTATTTTTCATTTTGACCCACCCCTACAAAGTCTGGCGGCTTACATCAAACTAGCATCTTTTCGAAACAAAATGGAAAATATACTAGATATGCATATGTTTAATTATTGGGATTCATATAAAACCACATAAGACCATATAAAACCATATAAGTAAGAGAGTTAATACATGTTATAGTGTCTCTTCACAGCAATCATAATTTGTATTTGTGTAGCATTTCCCAAAGAGATTTCTAACCTTCTTGTAAGTGGCAGACATGGTATTAAAAGACTGCGTAATTCCAATGGTATACGTTTAGTTTGTAGATTTCAGCATCTTTTTGCAAAGTTTGTTGTATTGAGGTGACACGAGGAATAGCCCACTTTTGCAATTTCCAAATATAACAGCCTTTTGTGCCATAATTTCATTGTTCTTAAAAGATCTTTCAATAAGATAAGTCTTGTTTTTACTATGATGAATGCCGCTTTTCATCAGAATGAGGTTATTGTTATCATAATGAGACTCAAGTTAAAAAATTCTGATATTTGATGCAATATTTTTGCAGCTAAGCAGGGACAGAGCAAAATGAAAAAAACAATTAGAAAGAGTAATAGTTTAGAGATATCACCTAAGATTGCGGTTGGAGCCAGGCTTAAATGTGTAATGACTGAGCCTACTGATTATACTGTCGCCACCAATAGCAAGTTTACATTCAGTTATATCCACGCCCTTTATTCTGCATTCTCATAATGTTATCTCTATGTATTATGTACATGTCATATCAAATCAAATATATGATAGGACTCAAAAAAGTGATAAATTCACAGCAAACTGACCCATAACGACAAGTCATAACCATAGCGAAAGAATTGTAGGGTCTTTTCTTCAGAACTGCATATATTCTTTCACAACTGCATTTTTTGTGTAGACTTCTATCTAAAGACACACTGGCGCCTAGATTTGGAAACAGAAATTTATGAAATCAAGGCATAGCACCGAAACATCGGGGGTTGAAGAGATAAAAAAGGGGCCCACGAGTATTTTCAGGTCACTTTTTATGTTTGCCACAGTTTTCACAATTTGTATACCTGTATGCTATCTTGCATTATTAAAGAATTTATAAAAATAATTCTATTAAGAAAGTGCGCCCCTTTAAAAGCAATGTTGATGCGGTTGCCTTCGGGCCCGGTAGCCCGACTGGCCAGTCCGTCCTTCCTGTACGCTAAACAGTCCTGCATTCTGTGTTTGATACTAGTGATATAACGCCGACACTTTGAAGAAAGGTAACATTCTAGAGGACATATGAAACTCCTTGTTTTCATTGTTTTTACGAGGGCTCTCAATGGCTAATTTAACAGAGGAAGGATGAGGAGTGTAGAGCAGACTTAAAATCATATCCTTAACTCCGTAGCCAAAACTTCAAGCGCACTCTTTTCTACCTATTTCTTTATAGAATATTCAGGTTAAGGCTTGTGTTTACTAGTGACTGGCAACTGCCCCACCAGGTCCAATTTGCTGCACCATCAATGAAAAATCAAATCTATATTTTGACTCAACCAATTATGGCCCCTTATGACCAGCACCCATTGTATTTCTGAAATTCGTGCTAACAGGCTAATGGGAGGCCGATATTAGGCCAGTTTGTTAGTTCTTAACGAAGATGTCTACTTGAGAGTATTACTGAAGTGTTCATCTTGAAAATCCTAGAAATTTATAGCATGGAGCAATTTGCAAAAGGAATGGGATACATTCATTGGTTAAATTGCAATAACACAAATCCTCAATTGGCCTCTTGTATAAGCCCCCTTGAATAAGCCCCTAAAGTATCGTCTAACTTTAGTGCTTATCGAGACTCGTGAATAAATCGAGATGTAACAGAAAATTACACCACTTTTGTCTATGATTAATGACATTCAGCGGCAAATGAAAAAGCTTTATAACGAGTCATTAGCGCAGAGACATTGAACTAAAATACCTTTTTGTCCTTTATCTATTCTTTGGTTAGACACTTTAGATGTCGTTCTAAAACGAACATGGGAACATCTCGTATTTTTAACGGAGGTTAAGGGAACATTTCGAGAAAATCTGAAGAATTTTTAGGGAACATTCAAGAATTATTTGGAACAGGGGCAATTTTTGAAAATTTTTAGGAAACATTGGAGCACAGACCCAATGGCCACAAGTGAAATTACAAACAAAATCTACCTTGCGAACATGTGCTACAGAATGTGCTATTTGTATGGCAACTTGGAGACGACATTTGTAAGCCACCCTCATAAAAGCCCCCCTCATATTAGCCCCAACTATAAAAATGTCTCAATTACTCAATTAGGGCCTCAATTAATAGGCCCTCGGGGCTTATTCGTGAATTTACAGTACATTGTTGTACAATCAATTGAAAAAACTATTGACTATGATTGTTTCTTGAGCTCATCAAGACCCGTTTTTTGTTGTTATGCTTCCTGTGATCCGTTGTCGTGGTTTGTTTTCCCGTCTGGGTGGCGACCGGTGTTGTTGCTGTTGTTTATTGATCTCTTGACACTTGGCAAAGACAGTGAATAAAGTGCCTTCTAGTGAATAAAGATTTATTTGTGATAAAAGACAGGCAAAGCACTGCAAAATCAGCATATTAGCAAGGTAAGTTGCTTTAGACGCATATGTTTTGAATTACAATATGTTTCGATATCGTTGAAAACGTATTTCCTTGCATGCATCGGAGCGAATGTCTTCAGTTGATGGAAGGCAGTTACAAACAATATATTAATGAATTGTTGGTCGTGCTTTATAAACTTTGTACGTTCTTTACCCATTGTTTTGATTTTTTCGGTAGATATATCTTAATGTATAAGCAGAAATATATTTCCTGTCAGAGATCACCAGTACATTAAAATTTCAGTGTTTAAATGGCAATCACACTGAAAGTGATTTCCTGATGGTTATGATGCTTAAGGCAGTTAATCTTTCCTTAAAATCACCCTGTCTGCCAAAGTTTTAATGGCAATCAGATATTTGATACATTTCTGGTGATTCCTTAAATCTTGTGACTGTGCCTACTCTGTTTTGTTTGTAGAAAAAGGCTTTTTTATCTAAATTTCTTAATCTCATCTTCATCAATCGATAAGGAAAGCCCAAAAACATTGTAAGGTATCATTACATCTGTTGACTCAGTTTTGATATATTTGAAATTCTGCTCAAACAAATAACTACCTGAAAACAGCCAATCACAAAAACCAAAACACAGGAACAATATTTCAAAAGAAGGTCCACAAAAAACATTTACTCTCGAAAGTGCATTCCTTTGCAAAAGCATGGCCTTAATCCATTAAAAGTGCCAACCTTCAAAAATTTACTCTTCCCTCAAAAAATCTTGGATGATAAAAAACAGTATAGGGATAAAGATTGAAATTGGTTATGTTTCTAAAGAATATGGCACTAAAGAATATGTTTTTTTCATGCATACATTCATAGATGTATTTTATTGCCAAAATGTTTGCTTGTAGTGTCAGAGCTTGTAGTGTCAAAATGTTTGCTTGTCTAGCATCTATTATCATAGCTTGAAGCTTTCCTGGAACAATGAGGTCAACTTCATGCTTATGTTTCCCTGTTTGACTTTCAAACAGTTAATTTTTGATGAATAACACTTGATGAAATGAAGAAAAATTTGCCCCTTAAAAAACATAGTTACTGGATAGATGCTTGAAAATGGCTTTGAAAAAAAGTAAACATTTTATAACATATTGACTAAAAGCTTTTTTGTCTGACCTTCCTCAGAGCATAAAACATCAGAATAGATTTAAGGGTCTGGAAGAACAGATAAAAAATATATACCCAGTTGTTGATCGAAATAGGCCAATCATAAAAACTCAAGCACAAGACCAGGGTATGGTTCCTTCCAACATGTGAAACAAAACTGCCCCTCAAAGAGAACAGCCTCTTCAATCTTGTAGGTCTGGAAATGTCAGATGAACTGAGGGATGTCAGACAAATCTGTTATAAATTTTGTGCTATTATCAAAGCCATTTTTAAGTTCTGGATAAATACTTGTCATGAGAAAACCAAGAACTGCTCATTGGTTAGCTAACTTATATGCACCTAACTATTGTTTGTCAAGTCAAACTTTTTACAAGGCCAAGTGATTCAATAGAGGTCAGCTTTGATTTAGGTTTCATTTGGCTGTATACCTCTACAATAGAGCAAATCAAGTATTTGGGGTGTACAGAAGAAAAAATGTCAAATGTGTTGCAGTATCAGAAAACAGGACTATCTGTAGTTCAAGCAATGACTTGAAGTTAATATTATAGGCAATCTTTCTCAATTTCCACAAGCAATTTTCAAGTAAAATAATCATATATTATGTTGTTTATTCAGCAATAAAAATCATCACAAAGCTAAAATGTTACATGGTATAACTTAGACATAGTGAAAAGTACAATTAAAATACAGTGTCAGAATGTACAGGTGTGATTAATTCAGCTCTCAACTTGTTGGTGGTGGCTTTAATTACTTATTTCGATAGCTTTTGAGCTCTAAGTTGAAGGTGCAATCACCTGTAACAGAGAACACCACTTAAAATTGTCTTTTAAAGGGTTAAGTACCTGTTCTTATATAAATACACGTTCTGTTATTTTTGCACTTTACCTTCTTTGAAACTTTCACATTAGATTTTTAATGAAAAAGAAAAAGAAAACACATTGAGCACTTTGTACTTAAAGAAGAGCCTGACATCAAATTTTTGCCACACCATAAGGAATTTGGAAAACACTCCATTTTTTAAATGCGCTTGAAAAAGCTATGGCTTTTTTACATGGCAATATTTGACTAATCAAACATTTTTTTGGCTGACCCCATTCTACAACTGTCTATTTCCTTCACAATTCCTCTTATATTTATATTCTGAATTGTGTCAGGTGCTTTCACTTGACCTGTAAAAAATGATTTTCCAAAGTTGTTAGCAAGTTTCATAAAATAATGAACAGTATTCAAAAATTTATGTGCTCCTAGGAGCAAAATCACTAAAATCTGTTTTTCAGTATTTCAGTTTGTTAAGGATTTAAGTACTTAAGCATTTCAGTATCTATTTTATTTGAAATATCTAAAGTACATGAATGACTTAATATAAACCCTTATGTAAAAATATTGAAAACGGGAAAAATTGGAAAAAAATTCTGCATAGGGGCAAATGAAGCGAGCAAAAGAGTTTGTACCCCCCTGAGAAACTAATTTTATTGCAGATTTGCACTTTTCTCAGATACCAACTTTCTAAACATTCAGGAGGGCAGTCACTCCTCTTTGCGCAATGCTCCCTACCCTACTGAAAAGCATACATGCTGCTGTTATGCTGTGTATTTTTCTATCATTTATCAAAGAACTGCATTGTTTTTCAAACATTTATAGTTTAACAGGTAATCATAAATTGCTACTTGCCATTTAAACCCAAACATTCCTCAATTGGGCTAACAGATCCTGCAAACTAAGAAATACAACATTTGTAATTTTTTGTCTGTTTTTTTCTTCAAATATAATGATAAAGGCATTTGAAACCATGAGATGCAACAGTTCTCTTGAAAATATTACTATCTGTTAATTAATTTATAATTTTATTTTTTACTTTTTTATATTCTATCTAATTGAAGCTAATATTGTATTCATTTGCTATCTCACTTGCCAAATTTAATCCAACCAAGACTGATTGTTTTATCTTAAGAAAAATTAACCAAGTTTGTTGATATTTAGGAATAGGGAAAAAACATTCCAATTTGTAGCATAATACATTGGTTTAGGTTATCAAATAATTGTCAGATAGAAAAATATCAGATAGAAAGGACACCAGCTGCTACTGAATGGGTAAATATGGGCTCAGCCCTCTGCAAATTTTAATTCCTGCGTTTGCATTATTTAAATGCTGCCCTCTTCTAATAGTGATATTTTCCTTGGGTAACTTAAAATAATATGATATTTTTTCAACAAAAAGTGGGATGATTTTTAAATTACCTCTAAACCACCATTGATGCTGTCAAAGCCATATTGGCATACATGGATCTAAGCTTACCCATGGTGATTTCTTATGGCTATAAATAGTAACCTATTTTTTGCTAACTATAAATCATGGACATCGTCCTTTTCATACTTTTCTCCAATCAGTCAGCCTAATATAGCTGTTCCGAAGTTTCCTTAATTAAATCCCGTTTATTTAGCTATTACCTCTTGATTTCATTGTCGACAGACAAATTTATTGGTTCTTATTTTGCCCTTCTATTTGCATTTGTCATTTAGATCCGGCATAAATAACATATTTGTTTAAAACAAGCAATTTCATCACTTAAGGTCCTTTTGAATATGGGCAAACCGACACCTGATGCTCTAGTTATAACAGGAGTGGATGTAATCAGATTGTAATATTATATAGTAGCGGGCTATTAATTACAGTAGGGCGATTCTCTTTCATCACTTTGGTTTCACCAGCTGCAAGAGCTGCGCAAAAACCAAGCACTGTTCATAGTCGCGAGACTATATCGACTTTGGCAAGTGTCGGCCTCATGTTTAATGCTCTTCCTGTCAGTTGGCGATTACCTGTTGTTTGTTCACCACCAAGAAATAGATGCAATTAAAGATCTAGTGGTTAGTGCTCTAAATGAATATTTTACAATATTGTTTTTAGCATATCGTTCTTATATTTGATCATGCTAGCAATAAAGTTTTGAAATTGTATTTTATTATGTTTAGAATCTGCAATTCCTTTTATGGCTAGTTTACAGGAGATTTTTGGACTTTTAATGGTGTATAGCCGTCACCCCACTTAACTAACCGCGTTACCAAATAACATACACATTAATTTTCCTAGAAATATGTTTTCAACCATCCATCGGAATTATTACTTGAGTTAAATAATTGGAAATACGAGGCCTTTCTCGGATCTCCTTAGAAATTGATAGCAATGTTGAAGACGAGCTTAAAAGAACAGCAAGACAACTGACTCGAGTAAGTTAGAAATGAATGAAACTTGAATTAAGTAATATTAGACAATGGTATTAACTTGAATCAGCTTCTGCTCTCGTATTGATAGTAGGTTATTGGGTTCTTCAATTGCCTATGTGTGATCTCAACTACAATACGAAACTGATAACTTCATATTTGCTGCTGTGACGAGTTTATCGTTGCGCAGATGATCTGAGAAGGAACAGGTGACGGTGAATCATTTGCTATTATTGTTTGGACAGTTTTACTGGATAATAATTTATCTTACTATCTACATTACTTTTTTGGTAATAATTTTCATTCTTACTCAAAAGTAATCTTTGAAATATATTTATTTATGTTGGCGCCAGGTTGTGTATTTCAGAAATGAATCTTCATGCTTTTTAAGTGTATTCCAAAATCCAAAATAATTGAGGTATACATTTCAAAGCTTTTGAGGTTATAAAATATATTAGAGCGTGCTGCATTCATCTTTATTTTCATTTTCTCCGTTAATTTCTTGATTTCTTTATTTGTAATATTGGTGCGCTAAAAGAGAGGGGAGAAGCCCCAGACTTCAATAACTAGAGAAAGAAATATAAAATCTTATGACCACATTTATTTTTGTGCTTAATAGTCCTTCACTCTTTCGTGTTTTTTATTGTTTTTGATAAATTCGAATTTCTTTAGAGCGGTGATCGATTGGGAGATTTTGCCGTATGGTGCATTTTTAAACCTAGGCCTTCCCTTTTGCGTCAGGTAATTCCCAGTGCGTCGGATAAAGTTTCCGCTAGATTTAGATTTTGAGTAAAGTTTTAGTTATGACGTAAAGTTACGGAATGTGTTGCTTGTAAAAAGTATCCATTTTGTTGTTCTCGTATTTTGAAAGAACGCTCTCTGACTTGGAAGAGCTAATTTCTTATGTATATTATCATAGTAATGTAAATCAATTTGAGTGTTATGGTAAGATTTCCATGGGTCGCGATGAAAATCGATGCTCAAATTGCCAAGGTTTACTGCTAACGAAAAGTGTAGAAAACTGCCGAGATATCATGGTTTTTAGAACATTTCAATAAATAATTTATATTCCAAGATTTTTAGCTGTTGAATGTTTTTTCAATTTACTTTTCTTCGTTAATTGACAAAATTCAATAAAAGTGTACAAATTTCATTAGAAATTCATTCACTTCTGACGTTATTGGAGAAACCAATGAAGATTGGCTGCTGACTCTGTGCAGACGCTGATCTCTATCTTGGGGGCTTAAACTTACCTTGTCTCCGTGCCGCCCGTACTGAAAAAATTGTTGCTTACAGAACCCTGTTATTGCTAAGATTCGTCTTTCGATGCATTCATGTCGTCAGATATTTTTAAACTAGAAATTTTCAGTTTTTCTATGAATAGCAGCTTTTTGCAGGAACTCTTCTTAATCGCCTCTTAACTGCAAAAAATGTGACACTTTCCGAACGGATTACAGTCACCGTCTGCTCTAAAAGAGAGTCTGCGAATGTTCATAGTACGATACTTCAACAAACATACTGTGTTCTTTTTTAGGAAAGTTAGGTTTTTGCGCTGTTTGTTGTACATTGCTTCTCAAGAGCACTATTTTGACACCTTACCCTGTTAAGGATATTATCACTTGTTCACATACGGTTTATTGAGCATGCGCAGTGGCTATTCTGTCTTTAACCTCGTTATACCACTTTTGCTTTCCTTGGATGTTGCAAAAAACTATTTTGCACAATAATCTCTTTGCGATGCTGATTGACTTCAAACTTTCATATTAAGATACCAGATATTTTGATAAACCCTCTAAGAATAAGAAAACTGTTGCTTTGAGCTTCCTCGTCTATTTTTGTAAAGTTTTTATTAGTTAACCCTGTTTTACTGTCTCGGGCCTATCTTAATTCTATGTCAAAACTCTTCCAAGTGGCATTCATTTTAAAAGGCGCTTTAGTGTAGTAGAAAACAGAACTTCACAGCTCTTCTATACAGTATCGTGTGCTATTCAAGTTTTGCCTATACGTACAGATATATGTCAGATCGAAAAAAACCAGTAAAAATCATCGATATTAAAAGATATGCAAGTCTCAAGTGCATATCGTATAAAAGCCATTGAGACCCGAATCAAATCCGACTTCCATCCATCTTCCGAGATACATTGATATTCTTCTCATCTACTTGGTTTTTATAACTAACCTCCTGTTAAACTATCATTTGCATTGTGGTTGGCGAAACAGGGTGGAAGCTGTTTTTGGAAATGTTTTCACTTTTGTTTACAGTATTTTGCGTTAGTTTATTTATATTATTTTCTCCTCGAAAAGACATCCGGCAGCCATACGTTTTGAAGAACTGTTAACATGCATACAGATTGACTCTATCTTTCATTCAAAGCAGGTGGAATGTTGCTAAGGTATTCAAAATCGAATTTACAAACTTCAACTTGCACACAAAAAAAGCTGTCAAATGAATGGTTTTGAAATTAAAGTTCAGTTAATCGTTCTTCCTTTCAAGCCTGTCCTGGCAACAACGATCAACCGATGAACCTTGCTTTATCTCGTGTCCCATTATCGCCAGAGGCTTTCAGGAATGACGATTTCGTACTTTAATAGTATAATTTGAAACGAGGGCGCGACCTTCCTAGTTATGTGCGACAAAGCTGAATTTCAAGATTAAGAGTAAATGACACATTTGAAGGCTTCAAAGACCATAACGCAGATTAAGGCGTGATATGATACAGCTTTGGTATTCATTGGCAGGTCGTATTTCGCTTTTTTGTCGATTCGAAGAGTTGCGATTTAATTTGAGTTCCTAGCCTAAAGCAGTTTCAGCTCTTCTCTATCAATACCTGCATAACATTTGCAATTTTGGTAAGTGTTCCTTCGCCTTTAAAGTTGATTTGGCATTTTTTACATAATCCTTGCTTATACCTAACATTTCTGGCTTTAGCTTTGCTTTCCGCGTGAGCCTTGCCTCATGTCAAAATTTTGTAATGCCCAACTCCCTAATCAAACGCGGGGTATTTCTTTATTTTCGATCATATTTCGAATCTTTGTCAATGCTGAAAAATTTGCCTTGTAATTCTGTTCTCCGCCTTACACGCAAATTTCCCCAAAACTTTAGCTACGATCCAATCTATCCCGCTATGTCTTGAATAAGGAATCTTACTGTTTCTTGAAAATACTGTTTCATGGCTATTCCTAACAAGAATTCAGAGGGCCTAAAGATCAATTTTTCTGTAATATGTTGTATGTGTGGCCATGTGGCACTGACAGTGAAGCTAATAGGTTCAAGGTATTGGTATCAAAGTGCTGCTTTGAGTTACGGTTGGGATTGCTTGTGCTAATTCTAAAAATTTGAGATTATATAGTTCTGTGAGTCAACTTATACTGCAAGTGTATTTTACGTTTTCAGGATATTATGTTAGCTAAGCTATGCAGTGATCATGATGACGAAGGCCTACGAACCGACGTAGTCCTCATGACGTTGTTAATCCCTTTTTGGTTACACAAATTAAATCTTGTTTGCACAAAGGAGTAATCATCGTTCTATTATAACACTTAGGAAATATGAAGATTGAAGGTGGCCACGACTTTTCATAAGCCTAAGATTACGAGTTGTTGCATCACTTCCTCGCCAACGTCAAATAACCAGCAATCATTCTAGTATCCACAGCTAGCCATCGACACAACTATACAATCCAGCCTCGTTGTGTACATTCATATTTATGTTCTAGTAATCTTTCTTGTTGTGATAACTTTGCTTCTCTAAACTAACGAAAATCAACGCCTTACGTTTTCATTTAACCTTACAGTTCTGTGACTAGGCAAGTAGTTGCTTCTAGTGAACAACGTTGTTGAAATTATTAGTGTTCTTGTCATTGACAAAAAGAGAAACTACTAGGCCTGCAGTTAGTTTCTGAGATGAATGTGAAATGTTGGAATGAAATATAAGAAAGTAGAATGAAATATGACATGCCATTCGACTGTTATCAGCTTGTACTGTTACATAGCGAAGTGGAGCTAGCGATTTCGATGTTTCTTCTGCTGTGTTGCTATGTTGGTTTTTGATTCTCTCAGTGATTGACTGTTCAGCGATTTCGATGTTTCTTCTGCTGTGTTGCTATGATGGTTTTTGATTCTCTCGGTGATTGACTGTTCAGTGATTTCGATGTTTCTTCTGCTGTGTTGCTATGATGGTTTCTGATTCTCTCAGTGATTGACTGTTCAGCGATTTCGATGTTTCTTCTGCTGTGTTTCTATGTTGGTTTCTGATTCTCTCAGTGATTGACTGTTCAGCGATTTCGATGTTTCTTCTGCTGTGTTGCTATGTTGGTTTCTGATTCTCTCAGTGATTGACTGTTCAGCGATTTCGATGTTTCTTCTGCTGTGTTGCTATGTTGGTTTTTGATTCTCTCGGTGATTGACTGTTTAGTGATTTCGATGCTACGTTCTTTTTTAATACTCTCGTCTAGAGTTTCAAGCATCCTTTCGTCCTTGTCACTGTTAGACTAAAAAACCTGATTTCAAGCGTGTCCCGTGGCTCACTGGGCTTCTTTTATATAGAAAATGTTTCATTTGTCTACCTGTCAAATCTTTTAATGATTTCGTCAAGATGAGATAAGTAAACCCTTTTCTTTTTATTAAAATATTGTTTATAGAATATT